GCCGGGGGCTGGGCTGGCAAGCAGGGGAGTGTCACCCTGGTCCCCAAACCAGGGACCTAATGCCCTTTTCGATTTCGATGAGATGGCAGACATGCTAGGGGTCTCAAACCAGGCATAGGCTCCACGCTCTGGGCTCCGCAACCGCCGCCGCCGGCGACGGGCGCGCCGCGGCACGGCTAGCAGCCGCGCCGGTGCCGCGGCGCGCGGCTGTCATTTGGGCAGCGGTTGGGGAGCGAGCCCTCCGGCGCGCGGGCCTGGCGCTGAAGGCGGCAGTCCGGATCTGCCGCGGGGAGTCCGGAGCTGCAGCCGGCAGTGCAGCACTTCCATTGGCAGTGCGGCGTTCACGGTGGCAGTCCGGAGCTAGAGCCGCCAGTCCGGAGCTGCAGCCGACAGTCCAGCGCGGCGTCTGGAACGCATCCGTGATTTCTAGCGTGCACAGCTCGGCGCATCTTCGCGGCGCCGGCGCAGGCGTCGGAGCGCGACATGCAGGGTAGATTTGCGCGCCGCCTGGCGCGGCGATCCCGGCCAGTTGCTCAGGTCAGGGTTTCTTGAGCACAGCAGCGCATTTGATTGGCAGACCTATGAGGTGCATCGCACAGATTCATCATCAACCGCAGGGGCTTGGCAGCTTTTGAATGTCGCTGTTTTTTTGTTGCGTGCAATCGCGTGCATTTCTTGTGGGGCCGCAGCTGGCACAGCGCCTGCCCGTCAAGACTCGTTTGCAGCCGCTCGGAGTTACACCAGCATCAGCAGCATCAGCTGCGGCGTTAGCACCGGTTGAATGCCAGCGGCAACGGCAGCAGCAACAGCAGTAGCAGCGCGGGGCAGACCAGCACGCACTAGGGGCTTTCGTGCACGGCTGCTTCGGACGGTGCGGACAGCCGTCACCTGAACCTCGGTCACAGAGTGTTGATGGTAAAGGTCTGATCTCATGAGCCTAAATGGCTCCAGAAGCAGGCAACCGCAGGATGCCGCAGCAATCTTGATCCTACTGCTAATCCAAGACGAGAATCCTTGGTCCCTATGCTAGCCGCACACGGCGACGCCGACGATGCCAGCTGCAAGGGCGCAATCACCCCTGACCCTTAAGCCGGCACGCACATGCAGCCGGCAAGCGTGTTGCACTATGCGCCATCACCGCTGAGGACTGATGTACAGAAACCTGTCAAAATCAATGACCACGCGCATGGCGAAAAAAATGGGGCGCTCGGCATCCGCGCCCCGAACATGACAAACGCAGGACGAGCAGAGCAGCCTACGGCGCCGCCGCACGCCGCCGCCGCTTCGCGGGCCTGCCGGCCCCCGCCTGGCGGCGCGCCTCGGCGGCGATGGCCACGAACAAGGCCCGCAGCTCCGCGCGCTCCGCCTCCCGCGCCGCCTCCGCCGCCTCCCTCTCCGCAACCAGCTGCGCCACCCGGCCCCGCTGCCACTGCGCGAAGGCGGCCCAATGCTCGGCGCTGCCGTAGCCCGTGGCCGCGCCCTCTGCCATCAGCAGCTCCGCCGCGGCGTGCTGGCCCTTTTTGAGAGCAATGCCAACCGCCCTGCCGCCGTCCGCCGCCACGGTAGCCCGGCATCCCCCCTCCAACAGCGCCCGCAGCGCCTCAACCTGGCCCCTCATCGCCGCGTACTCAAGCGGCGTCCCGCCAGACCCGTCGGCCGCCCCCTTGTCAGCGCCGCTGTCCAGCAGCGCCCGCAGCGCTGCCACCTGGCCCGTCAACGCGGCGAGATGGAGCGGTCTGACGCCTTGCTCCTCGGCCGCCTCCTTGTCGGCGCCGCTGTCCAGCAGCGCCCGCACCGCTGTCTCCTGGCCCGTCAACGCGGCGAGATGGAGCGGCCTTCTGCCGCGTCCGTCCGCCGCATCTTTTTCAGCGCCGCTGTCCAGCAGCGCCCGCACCGCTGCCAGGTGACCGCCGACCGCAGCGATATGAAGCGGCCTTAGGCCAGTCTCGTCTGCCGCCTCCTTGTCAGCGCTGCGCTTCAGCAGCGTGGTCAGCACTCCTACCTGGCCCTTCGCCGCCGCCCAATGAAGTGGCCTCCAGCCGTCCTGGTCGGCCGCGTCCTTGTCGGCGCCGCTGTCCAGCAGCACCCGCACCGCTGCCACCTGGCCCTTCATCGCGGCGCAATGGAGCGGCGTCCGGCCGCGCCGATCGGAGGCGTCTTTGTCGGCGCCACGTTTCAGCAACGCGCGCAGCGCTGCCACATGACCCTTCTCCGCTGCGCGATGAAGCGATGTCATGTGATGGGCCCTTGTGGCAGGAACGCCATCCCAGCTGCTGCTGCGCGCGCGTCTACCATATGGGTCTGAAAGGAGCTAAATCAGGCAGCGCCTTTTTGCGCATTACATGCTGTTCAATAGCTTTTACAGGTGGCAATAGAATTTTCCAGGACAAGTGGCATTTATAACGCAGCCCGCATGAGCGGGTAAGACGCGCA